CCATAGAGATGACTTGGATGAGGTTTGGGGGCAAGGTGGTCCATTAGGCACGTGCTACTGTAGGAAATTGTATTGGAATTAGATAATGCAATGGCACAGTCAACACCAACGGTCCATGATACACATAAAAAGACTTAACAAAAGGATGGTGTGTCAAACATTGAAGTTTCCTCTTTTCTGCCCGATGTTTAACGGTTCGATCCCAGAAAGAGTGATGAGTTAGCTGACGCGTTACTGGCTGTACTAGTACCGGTACCGGTACTACTAGCTAGTGGTACCGGTAGTAGGGTGATGGTGCCCTCCAAAATTGTTGCATGGGATCGATGCCACTGATGTACATACTGCATTGCAACAGCATCTCTTGCAGCACCAAGATGACAACGCTTCTTTCATTGGTTGTCAAGTGGAGCAAGTTTCTCCACAATAATGTTTAGCTGATGAAACTGGTATCAGTGGTGGCCGGCTGGTGGAGGCAGGTTTATCCAGGATTTGCATGCTGCGCTTGGCAGAGTATCCACATCGTCGTAGTGATACTCTCCTGGTGGATCTAGCTAGGCTCTCCTCCAATCATTCTCCATTTTGGAAGCTTCAGATTCAAACGATTCCACCAAGTCCAACTCCAAGTCGAAGTCCAAGAATACGCCGAGGATACAATAATAATTATAGGTGGAGGGGTACGGGATGGTACCAGGTACCATATGGAGCGAAGTCGGGAACAAGCGACGATGAGAGCTCTAACTAGCTAGCTAGGAAGCACCATGAGATCACGAGCTCGGGTTGACGGCGAAGAAAAGCCCCGCTGACCAAACAATACTTCCCGCTGAAATGACAAACGCCAGAACAAGTGGAGTGCCTTTGAGTCAGCTTTCTTTGCAAGCGACGAAGTGCCGAGTCAATTCATGTTCTATTGGTTTCAGGCTGGCTTCATGATCCTGGATTGCCACTTTGGGCGCCGCTTCACTTGCTGCGAAAGCCTGCCCACAAGAAACATTTATGCAAACAAATATACATGCATTGAGCAGAAGGATATTGGCTTTTGGTTCACGAGCAAGGCTTGGACAATGTCCAAATACAGTAGAAGCAACAGCAGTGGCAACAACTCTCACCTTGACTCCTACATGTAACATATGATCAGAGCGGACTGAGGCCATACCGGTTTTCAGCCGGTCTAATCGCACGTTAACCATTATATGGATCGGCATGTGTTCTGTTGTGATTTCCTCGATGGTGCGGTCTTCTTCGCAATGATCTGCAGCATCGTTGTTGCATTAGCCGCTTGTTGCTCCGTGAAGTAGTGAAGTAGTCATTGTGTGCCATGGTCGCTCGGTGAAAGAGGCTCTGTCCAAGCAGGAAGAGGAAACAAGAAGTCATCGACCAATCCATCCGTTGAACGGAAGCGGAAGCCGCTAAGAGGAGCCTGTCATTGTGGAGGTGCCTTCAAGAGGAGCAGCCGCTGTACTCTGTACAGATGAGATAGCATCATCTTGATAGAGTAAAGGTAGAGCTATCGAAATAAATGAACAACAGAGGAAAATACGAGTGGCTTTCATGTTTATCATTCATCTTCTGGTTGTTGGCTAATGGAAAGAAAAGAGAGGGTAAATGCAACCTCTCCGAGGACTCAACAGGACACATGAAATAACTGTTGATCGATCAGTCAGTCCTCTCCAGTTGCTCATAAATTACACTATCGAACAACAAAAGCTATGCCCTTTTCTCGTCACTCCACAATGGCCGAAACATCCAGTTCACCATGGCTATTCCATAGGAAGATAACACCGAAACAGCATCCTCCTCGTGAATCCGGCTCTGTCATCCGCATAGGTCAGAAGGAGAGAGCCACTATGGGTTGTCCATGGTCAACACTATCATGCAAGGCAATGCTCGTCCATTTGAAGTGGCAGCCACAAGATCCAACCACCACACACCATTCTTTTAGTTTTCCAACCATGCTATTCTAGGCCACATTCCTACAAGGCATAAGGTATTTGGCAATAGACTAAAAAAAGAGTGGATATTGGTTAGCAGCTACTGGTACAAGTCCGGCACCGGTCGATGGCAGCTTTGAATCGATAAGCCTGCAGGCTGTCTATATTCGAGTAAGTCAACTTTTGCGCGAGGAGACGACCTGGAAGGCTCCCAATTCAGAGATAGTGTAGCCGTAGTTAGGAACAAAGTATCTTCTCCAATAATGATCCCTTCTTGAAGACGAACATCCTCATCACAACCTGCCTGATGATATCCAGGGTGTTTTGCATGAGCATGCTTCTTTCCACAGTAAGGACACTTGATCTTCGTGGTACCCTGCTTTCTAAGCGCAATTGGAGTACCATAGCAATCCTGCAAGTACTCCCTCATCTCCTCCAAGCTCATGGGAATCCCGTCAGCAGTAGGATTAAGGTCCTTCATTGTTGACTCTTTCTCTGCCATCTTTCACTTTGAAATAATCAGTAAGCTTTGTCTGCCTCACAGAAACTTTATGAGCTCCAGCCTTAGCATTTGTAGAAGACCCTAAACAGCTAGTAGTTCTAACCTTGCTAGTAGTCTTAGTAACCTCCCATGAATTAAATCTAGACAAATGGTTCATCCTATAAGTTTTGCTTAATTAATAGTACTCATCTTTCTCTGCATCTGAGAGGCTCCTCCACTCTTCTCCCAACATCTTAGCAATCTCTCCAAAAGACAGATCATGGTTCTCCTCTTTAATCTCGTGATAATACTCTTTAGTGTACAACATATAACCCCGCAAGGGCTTCTTGACCCTCTTACTCTTCTTGCAAGGTTTTTTACAACAACAAGAACAACATGTTGTAGTCTTTCCCATACTTTTAGATGCGTTTTATGAATCTCCAGCGTACCCAGTGTTCCGAGTATCCGTAAGCTAGTGTTCCGTGTATCCGTAAGCTAGTGTTCCGGCAGTGACGTTTCAGTCAACCCGTGAGTATCGAGTCCCACCAGTTAACACATTGTCGTCACTGGTATGTCACCGGTCAAACCACGACTAAAATGCGAGACACTCGCTGTTAGATACTTAGACCATTGAGAATCAATTTATTCAGTTAAGTTTAGTTAATTTTGATTAACCCTAATGAAACCCCTATCCACCTCGATCTCCCGTCCCCCCAAACCGACGCCTTTGGTGTTGAAGACTCACCCTCTCCATTAGCAAAAACTGTCTTCCAATACTGGAAACGGTTGATATTCTTGGAAGAAACATGGTAAGGTTGTAGTGGTTCCCGGTCCCTTGGTTAATCGCCGAATGGTGGCTAAAAACTTTCGGATGCAGTCTGTTACTCTGGAGTAAGAGTAGTTTAAAAGTAGGTAGAACCATCCTTACTTAAATGGGGGACGAGAAATTAGGGGTGGTTCCCCTTGTGTACTCACCTTTAAGTGAAAGGAGAAGATTTACTCAAAGCAAGATCAAAGATCGATTCGATTCGAGTCAGAGTCGAGTCCAGTGTCAGTTGCCACGGAAGGTTGAATATCAACCTCCCCAGGGGCAGCAACCACTGGCAAATTGAGCGCGATCCTGGTGGTCCGAGTTATTGCCAAACTGAAGAGATGTGCCGATGTACCGTATCAATCCATTGTCGGACTTCCCCGGGAACCTGAGCTTGTCACCGAACCACAAATAATATGTAAAGCCCCATCTCCGACATCTCTAGCTAGATACTAGGTACCGGTACTAGCTAGCTAGAGTAGTGGCTGGCTAGTAATAGCCATGATAGCCACATGTAGTGCTGGAGAGAGGAGAGAGGTATGCATAGATGCCGTAACAGTAATAGCCCATCTCGGTGCAAAATTCTAACTAACGCTGTCTTCCCTGACGGTACAGCTACGGGACTAACGTGAAGTTTAGAGCAAGACCAAAATTCGGATGGAGTTTCGGCAGCTAAAAAAACACATCCACGAATATTTTCCGTGATGAGCCCTGCAAAACGCTACTGCGTAGCCAAGTACCGTGGAAATACTGGCGTTTCTCGGACTCTTGAGTCTGTACATTGTACTCCAAATCTGAGAACTACAGTTAACGCTCGCTTATATTTATAATCTTATATTTATTCGCTCTATAATATTTATTATATCTCGAGTTCCCCCCCCCCAGTCACGAGTGACCGTGAATGACGTCAGTTCTCTGCCAGTCCGCGCAAATCTTCGTTCGTGGGGTTTTTCATGGTGTTTTCGCGAGATTTGCGCAGAATGGCAGAGAGGAGACAAAAACAATTCTCTGAGGATGTGCTGCAGATGGGGGAGAATTGGATTGAAATTGAAGATGAGCCTGAAGTCATCAGTGCAACCATCGACGAGGAGATAGAAGAGCTGGAAACGACAACAACCGAAGCCGAACTGGCTGTCCTTGATGATGAGGAGCCTAAACGCAAACATGATGGCACTCTCCACTCGTTCTTTACTAGTGGTTAGTAGCAGTAACGCTCTATATTTAGACACACTGTTATATTTACTGGATTCCTGAATCCCCCCCTGTATATATATCTGAATGTTGACTGTACCGGTACATGCATCACCAGAAGCGGAAGGTTCGTTGAAAGAACAGCTGGCCAGAAAAACAAGGGGAAGCCGTACGGTAGAAGTGACTGATCTGGCTATTAGTCTAATAGTGTACAGAGTTATTGACACGCAAAATGAACGGAGTAATGCAACCCGATGCATCAATGAAGGAGTATCTGACCCGATACCCCTCGAGCGTCATTAATTAATTAAAGAACCCGCAGGAGGATTCGTGGGGTGTCCAACGGTGTAATATGGTATCCAATCAGGCACGTCCTCTAGCTAAAGAATAACTAGCTTGAATCTGCGTCCCTGCCCTGTCGGCGGCATGGACTCGGCATGTCGGCATATGTCCCACGTATGAGACCCGTACCAGGTAATGGGAAGACTGCAGAAGAGTGGGGGGTACGGTACCGCTATGCATAAGCGTCAGGACTCGAGATTGTCCGATCCAATCAACTTCCAAAGAAGGGTCGTTGATGTAGCTTGCTTCTTTTCGTCATTTATTAATTTAGTCCCAGAGTCGCGACATAAAATGTCTTGTGCAGCTTATTAATTAAACAGGCAATTTCCCCGGAGTGACATTCCCGCGAACAAACTCCGAGAGACAGTCGCCACCGCCCACCACCCGTGCTGGGACGATTGATTGATTCTAGATTCTGATTCCGCACCGCGCATCAAGTATTCCCCTTCCTCTCCTCGGCAAACCTCCAGGAGCACTCATAAAATCAGGATGAGGAGTTACAAGAGCAATCATCTGGGTCAACAGTCCAAGCTTGCCAAGCAACTGACAAAGGCAGCGGCAGCCATCAGGATCCCAGACGACGACGAGTCGGAGAGAAGTCTCAAGATGACTAGCATACCGGAGGATGTTGATGACCGAGACGATCAGCAACTGCAGGATCAGGAATCCAGCGACAAGCTCATGGAGCGCTTGAATGCCCCAGTTGTGCGAAACGACGATGCTGTCACAACAATGCGGATGCAAATGATTCGTGAGCTGTGAGTGATGTGATGGTTCAGATTGACAAACTATGATGCTTGATATTGACTCTCACCTGTTCTTTGTTCCTATGCTTTGCCATCCGCAGCACGCGTCGTCTAGAGGCAAAGAAGCAAAACATGAATGAAGCTCAGAGAAAGAAGATCCCATCTGTAGCCATCAAACTAGAAGCACACTTGTTTAGCAAGGCCAACGGATGCCTGCACACATATCGAGATCCTGCCACGTTGCAACAGCGCTTCAAGGGGATCCTGACGGCACTGCTAAGGCGCAAACTGGAACAAGCCCACGCAGAGGCAGCGATGACGATGGATACGCCCTCCAATCGGCTAGAGGCTCTGACCGAGGCGGGGGTAGACCCAGCAGTAGTGGGGCAGGTCTACTTTTTGGTCCAGCAAATAGCGCATCTTCAGGAAGGAGTACCAATGGACCAGACACCTGCCCCCAAAGGTACCAAGTTCCAGTGCTTGCTTGACATTGAAGGAGGGCAGGTCATCCCCAAGGAAGTCAAAGGAATATTTGTGAATGTCCCCATTGTCAATGCTTATATGTACACACCAATGCATCGATTAGGTGAACACAACTGGCCTCGTCTGGTAAAGCACACGGAGAAGGCAATTCGAGATTATCACAACTTTATTGCCGAGAAGAAGGCAAAACTTCAATCTAAAGGGGGTTGAATTTCAACTGAAGCAACCAAATCAAGCAAACATACATAGCAGCTAGCTAGGGCACAATAGCATCCATTCCATGTACACTTTCTGCACAAGTATTCTCGATACAGCTAGCTAGCTAGCTGACTAGTCGTAACAAAAATCTGGCTAAGGAACCTATTATTGGCTGGTCGCCGCTGGTGCATCGCATATCAACATTGTGGCTGGGCACCTGGCTGTAGCCGTCTACTATTAGTGTGCAATATCTTATCCTCTGGCTCCAGTACAGTATGATAAATAACGACCACTCTTCCGAGGTGGTCGTTGCTGGCAACATCTCCACCTATTATACTCTGAACCTCTATCTCATCAAGTCGATCTTTCCGGTAGCTTTGAAGGCCCCACAGCTTGAACTTTGCAGCTCCTTCCGTCAAAGGCACGGAGTGGTGCGGAAGCAAAATAGCCAGCTGTCAGTGAGTGCAGTACTGTCTTGTGGACTCTTCGCAGCAAGGAGTTTTGAGAGAGTGTCATGAGACAGATCCATTCTGCTCCAATTGCAAGTCATTTATTTCATTTTCCATCTTGACTACTGTAGACAGAAAACAGAAGCCTATTGCCAAATCGGAAGACTTCCAAGTGATGGGAGCCAGACAGCATTAAACACATCCATTGGACACTGAGTTTGCTTAAACGGAGTAATTATTTTCAAGCAAGAAACAAGAAGCACAAAAGATTTCTTTGTTCTACACGCAAGTAGAATGCATGTAGCTAGGACTTTTTGCCTTCAAACAAGCAAGTCAATTACGGTGTCCACCAGTACTTGAGTAAACTTATTGCTCCTTTTCCTTTCACAATAGTTTCACGGAAACTCGGAGAAATCAATGAGAACGGTGTGCAAACGGCGTGTGAAGTCTCGAAAAGCAGCTTTTGTATTGTGTGACACCTGTTTCTGCGTCCCAAAACAGTATGTCAGTGACGTTTTGGAAAGCTATGACGTAAACCACGCTTAGCAGAACCTTCTCGTTTCTGACGCAGAAAACCAATCATGTATGCGAATGAATCGAATCGAATCGAATCGAATCTCAACAGCGAATACCGCCAACCCTAGTGAATTAAACTTTGGAGAAAGTGTGGTATCATTGAAGTTCAATTTTTGCCGCCAAAACCCCCCTCAAAATCAAAGGCGATACTTGGTACGGTAGCTACCGTAGCGGCTTGTATCGATAGTGGTACCAGTACCCTACTCATCTATCATCATCAGAAGATTGCACGGCACCACCATGACGGACAAGGTTTGCATAACACTGGGCAGTGACAGTGAGACCAAGCGAGCCCTTGGCCGCTTTCGCAATCTGAGTTTCAAACTGAAGAATGTGGATTCGTCGATTGAAGTCAAGGCCACTCGCAACTTTGCCGCATCCGTGTTTGACTGGGAGGATTTGATGACCAGCGTGGCGGCATTGCCTCGTCTCTGTACGTTTCGCATGAAGTTGCTCCGTAGCGGCGCCGCTGTCCCAAGTCGCTTCATGGAACCCTTGTTGGAGAATAGCAGAACGTTATTATTAGTGTCATTGGTTTTGGTGAATGTCAATTGGAGTGGACCGACTCTTGGCCTGAAAGAATTGGCTTCGCAGCTACAGGCATTGACGAGTCTGCGGTTGGTTTGGTGCTGTACCAACTCGGCCAACCAAGCGGGAAATGATTGTCTGTCGCATTTCTTGGCGGGCATTGCCCAAATCAAGACTTTGAAATCAGTGACATGTGCCAATTGTGGGTTTGCACGAGAGCCGTTGATCTGCCAAGCATTGGTGGCACTCATGAACAATCGCAGTCTGGAGAACTTGACCATCAAAAATTGTCACAATGTCACGAGCAATACATTGCTGTCACCATTGCAGGAACTCCAGGAAAATAATAACAACACAACCAAACTGAAACAACTTACATTGGATCCGTGGGGTTCGTTTTTGGACGACTGTCTCGTTAGAATAGGAGAAATGCTACTGGTCAATCAAACATTGCAAGACTTGTCCATGGATTGTGGCGATGCCAGTCTCATGCCCATTGCCACGGCCCTGGATACCAACCGGACACTCCAAAACTTTTGTTTGTTTGGAATGGATCGACAGTTTCAGCCGCCTGACGCCCTTGTGGCTCACAAATTCACACACGCCCTGAAAACCAACTACGTCATGCGACATGTCAAAGTAGCGGGTACGGAAGCGTATTGGAGTCATGATATGGATTACTACTTGCGCCTCAACCGGGCAGGCCGCCATTTGTTGTTCGAAAACGAAACGGCAACGGCGGCAGATTGGATCCAGGCATTTATCGATTGTTCCCATGATACGCCAGCCGTGTACGAACTGATTCTTCGCAATCCGTCGGCCCTGACTAGCACTGTGGAACTGCCACCAGCAAGTCGCCAACCGGATAAGGATCGTTCAACGCCAAAACATGTGGATGGCGAGGATGACGACAATGATAGCTCCGGCATTCCACAGCAACAAAAGAAGAGAGGCAAACAACAACAAGTCGACCGTGACTTGAGCTCTTCGGAAGATGCATCCTCCTGTAAAGAGAAATCTCACCTTCCAAAGAAGAAACAACGGCGGCGACAGAGCCATTCATCGAGCTCCTCCTCGGGCTCAGAGTCACCGATGGTACGAAAGCCAAAGAAAACCAAAGCAAAGCGGCGACAGAGACATCCATCGTCCAGCTCCTCCTCGGGCTCAGAGTCACCCATCGTGCGGAAGCCAAAGAAATCAAAGGCGTCGTGTTCTAGCTCGGAGGATGACAGTGATGATAGCTCAAGCCAGATGCGTCGTCGTGCACGCCAAAGGGGCAATGCTAATACTAAGAAGGGGCGAACAAAGTACGCTTCGATGCTAGATTCGGATGAGGAGGACGACTACGACTTGAAACGACAATCTCGAAAGAAGAAGCGGGTGACTAGCACTAAGTCCTCCTCCTCGAGCTCAAGTAGTGAGTATGAGCACATTCATTCGTACAAGCAACAATCTCGCAAGGTGAAGAACAACAAGAACAAGCGGGGAACACATGAGCGCTCTGGCAACACAAAGAAGAAGAGGGGAACATTGTCCAAGAAGTCGGATGTTGTTGAGGACAAGACTGGTTTCCAGCAGTGGCTCGAAATGGAGAAGAAAAAGAAACAGGGACGGGGACGTGGCAAATGCTACAAATCAGAGGATAGTGATGACAGCAGCGATTGAAAAATGGCACAAGCAAAGCTTCCAGGCAGTGTAGAAGGGACGGGAACAGAGCAGGGGCGTTCGGATGGGAAATCTCTAACACTCATCACCGGGGCAACGGACGGGGTCCTAGGGCAATGGAGGCGTCCCAGAACACCGGCTCTTGTGTAAGTGTAGCAAAGGGAAAGCTTCAAATAACTCCACAACGCAAAATCACATTTTCTAAATGACAAAGGAAGACTTGGTTTTACACTTCTTCTATTATTATTACTACTACTACTAAAACTACCTTGTGCCCTACCTGTGTACCGTGCCGTACTGTACTAATGACACCACAAACTGGGTGCTTCCCGCAACAGACCATAATAAATCTGATGTCGTTCCACTCGCTGTCCTTGTTGAATGACATATTTCATGTGTTTGAGCGTGGCCAATAGCACAATGACTTGTTCCAAACTGGCCGTGTTTTTGCGAATGTACTTGCGCCCGAATCGATTCATGGCGGTCCAGTAAAGAATATCTTGCCGATAGCGAGATGGTGGCACCGTGACGCGTTTCAAGGATGTATTGTGATTTTCCAGTGCCACGTCGAGTTGACAAAAGTCGACCTGTTGCTTACTACAGCCTTCCAAGTTCCATTCGGTTAAACTGGTATTGTGTGCGAGTGCCAACGTGAGTTGTTTGGTATCAAAGGCCGTGCCGACCAGTGTCAGAGATGTCACCGTGTTGGCGTGCAAAATGGCTTGCACCAGTGTGGTGTAATCCACAGTTTCGTCCCACATGGCCGTCATTGCGTGAGTAGTAGTGGGATGACGATGTAAAAGGGATAGTTTGGTGACACTCGTGTTGCGTGCCAGACAGTTGGTGAGAGGATCTATATAGTCCTTGGCCTGTACAATGTTGGTGGTGGTGGTGGGCAAGTTGAGGCTCAAGTAACGGATGGATGTGTTGGTCTCTAGGCACGACAGCAAAAAGGTCCATCCTTCCAAATCCCATTCGACATGTTTGCATTCCAACACGGTCAGCTGAGGAAGCAATTTGGACAAGGCAGTGGAAACTACCAGAGATGTTTGTCGTTGGTTGTGCCTTTGGTTGTTGTTAAGCTGTAGTTGTTGTGGTTGTCTTTGGTGCAGTTGGTTTTTGAGCTGAAAGAAGCGAACCTTTTTGGGCACTCGACTGCAGACCGTGTCTCGTACCGTTTGAGAAAATTGGTTGGAGACTTCCAGGACCGTGTCGAGAGGAGTGCTTCGTCGGTCCACCGAAGTCATGACGGTGCCTTCGGGGTAGGCTTCGACGAGACTTGTAACGTCGTCCGTACTGCAGCAACGTCGAGTGCTTCGTGTGGTTGCGCTGCCATCCAGCAACATGTGCAATGGCAAATCTCCCCGTGCGTTCTTGACCGCCGCGGCACGAGGAAACTGATGGACCAGAAACGCAACCAGACCTGGAATGGGACGACGGGCCGCAACCGTCGCACAAGCCACGTGCAATGGAAAGTTGCCCGTGTCATAGTGGGGTGTCTCGACACTCTGTGGGAATTCTCGACAAAATTCTTGAACAAAGACCAAATCCATTCCTTCCTCCAAAAACAGCATCAATGGAGAAATCTGTCTTCCATGACGATCGAACGATTCCAACGCCAGTGATGGATGTGTCTGACAGAGCATCCAGATAGATTGGCATTGGCTTCTCACGGCTTGACAACGAAACAATCCGCCAATGGCTTTTCTAGCATCTTCGATTCCCATGGTGCTGGTATCCAACAAGAGATCCTTACTACTAGTAGAAGTATTTGATAATGATGTACTGGTAGCTTCCCTCATCCTGCATGCACTTACTTGATCATCAGCGGTACTTGGAGACAGATGATGTTCATTGATGTCTTGCTATTGATATTTATTACCGTACACTATATATTTTGATAAAGACCTGAAAGAAGTCCAATGCTTGCATGCAGCTGCACATCGACCTCTGCTCGTTGCCTTCTGTTGTTCTTTGGCAGTTCCGTCATTTGATGATGGCCAAACGAAATTCGCTTCTTTCGAACTCTCAGTGCTTGTCACCCTCGAGAACTCCAAAGAAAGATCCAAAAGATCGAAAGATACCATTTTGCAAGCCGTGATTGAATCCAGCCAGCCACCAAGGAAAGCAGGGGGAAAGGTCGAGGGCAACAAAGTTTGGTTGGGGACACCGCACCATGCATGGAGTTACCAGTACCGTGCAATGGAGGTGTACGGTACTGTAAGGGTGGACCGGTTGGTTGCCACAATCAATATTGACCATGATATGATTCATTGGACTCTAGAACCAGGAGCTCTTTTGAATTTAGAAATGAAGAGTGCAAGATCTAGCTAAATGTAAGTTGTTGAAAGATGCTGATCCTATTCGAGTTTTTCTTCAGCCACAGCTGGGATCAGAACAACTCGCATATCTACCGGTAACGTACCACAAAGGGACTAAATGAAAGAACCTTCACCAATACCAGATGACAACCTTGGCACGCATTGCTTCCTTCGGATCAGATGGGCACCTACCTTCAAAAGTACCGGTACAAGGTCAAGCGGCACAGACAGACAGCTCTACAGTACTAGTAGGTCTTTGAACACTTCATCACCTTCCCTGGAAAAGTTTGATGAAGCACCTGGGCTTCCAACCTGCTACAGTATGACATACTAGTATCGGTAGTCGGTGCCTTGGTACAGACTTTGGGTTTGGTTGGGATTCTATATTGTTCCATTCTGATCTATTGTCGGAGCTATTGTCGGTGAGGTTTCACTACCGGTAAATCAAGGTCTCCTCAGCAGTGCTCTGGCCTTATTGTTAGAACAATTTTATAATTCATTCTCTTTGTGTTGCTAGCGATATCACCGACGGCGAGGTTTTTATTAAAACGATGTCCCAAACTCTGGACTCTCGAAAACTCACAAACTTACTACCAGTACATGTATTTTAAAACACCAATAATAACACGCTTCTCCCAAGCCATCAAGAGCTCCCATCGACCACTCTCTCTCTCTCTTCGACCAGCCATGAGCACGTCCACGCAAGATAAAAATGATGATCTCGTTCAGAGCGTCGCGGGTGTGACTTCTGACGATCAAACCAATGCTGCCGAACGGCGAGCCAAGGGTGAATTTGTGAGAGGCATCAGTACAGCTCGAAACTGGATATCCGGCGAACAAGGCGCCATGTTCCCTCCAGCCAAGGATCGCTATCACCTCTACGTCGCCTATAATTGTCCCTGGTGTCATCGTGTCCTGTTGGGCAGAGCCATTATGGGATTGGAAGATGTCATCACAGTGGATGTTTGCTTTCCCAATCGCTCCAACGAAGACGAACCCAGGGGTCCCAACTTGTGGAAATTCTGTCCGGAAGGACAAACATCACCCATGAATACAGGAGCCTTTATCAAGTTTGACGAATGTACCGATGACACTGTCAATGGCAAACGGTACATCAAGGAAATTTATGAACTGGCAGGGATTGACGATCAAAAATCAGTGCCAATCTTATTCGACAAGCAAACCAAAACAGTTGTGAGCAACGAAAGCGCTGAAATCCTGAGAATGATGGGTACTGTCTTGAAACCATTGGCCAGTCGTCCGGTAGATCTTTATCCGGCAGAAGTCGCCGCTGAAATCGACCATCTCAACGATTGGATCTACAAAGAAATCGCCAATGGCAGCTACAAGGCTGGATTCTCTTCCAACCAGGAAACCTACGAAACTGCCTACAAAACCTTCTTTGCAGCTCTCCAAAAGCTGGACGAAGAGGTGCTGTCAAAATCAGCTTTTCTGGCGGGAGATCATGTCACGGAAGCTGACATTCGTCTATTTCCAGCTCTCTTTCGATTTGATCCAATCTACTACTCACGGTTCAAACTGAATCAGTCCTTCTTGTGGGAGTACCCCAATGTTTGGAAATGGATGTCTCGTATGATGAACTTGGAAGGAATGGAACCGGTGTCCAATGCGGCTTATCTGCGCCATTGTAAGCAGGGTTACTTTGGTCGAACTGGAAATGGAACCGTTCCTGTGGGGCCGCTTGGATACCCAGAATGCTACAAGAGCCCTTCACCACCCTTTGCCAAACAATCTTAGTTTTTCTACAGGACGATAAGAGGATCCTCCATGCCCAACTCTTAGTATCACAACTAATGCTACACAGAACCAGCACCGCTTAGCATACATATACATGAAGTTACTACAGTAGTTACCTCACTTAACTAACACATAAAATGGGAGATAGCCAGCAGCAAAGA